TGGGCAGACTGGTTCGAGATGATAGAAAGGCAACAGTAACTCATGTCAATATGGACCAAAATCTGAGGAATGTTTCCAACACCTTGTCGAATCCATGCCACGAAGAATGAAGGCAAAAGGGGGTCCAACCCGGTACTAGCAAAGTGGACCTAATAAAGTGGCCAGTGATTGTATTCCTGTCAAGAGTTTAAGCAGAAAGAAATCGATCATTTTATCAGTGTTTATGACCACCATTAGTCTTCCAGTGTCCAACCTGCCATCTAAGGGGCTACAGGAGGGCCTTTGGTAATTACTCTCGGGCCCCTGGGCTGTAGGAACATGTAGAGTGGAAGAATTGATTTGCAAAGAGCAGTAATAGGATCGCTGGCAATCTCATAACATTTCCCCGGTCTGTCTACTGTAGCATGTCCAGTTTCTAGTCTTGGATAGTCTTCGGCATTACCTAGATTGAATATTATGGGTGGCCCTTTTGTGGTGTTTGGGACCACAGCTGAGGCTTTAGATGGTTGGTTGCTGCTTGATACTGCGTCCTACGTGCCACAATCCTCAATTGTCTATCATGGGGTGTCGAAAAATGGGCAAGCAGGACACCTAAAGACCAAAACAAGCCGTTTTGTACATTATATTTCGTTTTAGTAAAATATGTAACAAGTACAAATATCACAGTTGGCTTTGACTCTTCATGTCCCACTGATGGTGGAGATGGTTTGTTTGGGGTTTTTTTTTCCAGATACTGATTGCAAGAAACGTGTGTAGGCAGGTGGAGTCGTGTGGGGTTTTTTTTTTTTTTTTTTTCTCCACTTCAGGTGGTGCTCTTCAACAGCAGCACAATAGCTGGAGAGGAAGTCAGGAGGAACACATTTCCTCCATGGGTTCCTGAGTCACTGTGGAGGCGCCCAATTGGATGCTGTTGCCTCATGTGACTCCAATGGCCATCTTAGGTCAGGCAGAGCCTATTCAGGGCCCTGGCTCCTGGGGTTGATGTGATTTTTGTGAGTCAGCAATGTAGAGAAAGGTACCCCGCCTGTTGGAAAGGGCTAGTGAAAGGTTCCTGTTGAGGAGAGAAAGCGTAGACACAACTTCTTTGGACATTCTCCCATTTGGGTACGAGATGGCCAGGCAGCATTCTACTCTCTTCACTGTCAACCTGGCTGTAACTTATCTTCTGGTTGATTGAAACCGCGAGTGTACCCGGCTGGGCAAGCGTCCTTCCGGATTGTTGTGAAATGTTGCTACGTTTCTTCAATACAGTTTTTTTTTTACTGTACTTGTCTGTGAATTGCTGCACCCAGGGGCAGACTGACCATTCGAGCACTTGGGCACTGCCCGAGGGCCCAGGGTCAGTAGGGGGCCCCATGAGATGCCCCTGGTACCTTTTTTTTTTCATAGACTTTTTTGAGTTTGGGCAAGGACACAGGGGCCCCACGATCCCCTATTGCCCTGGGGGCCCCATGCGTTGTCAGTCTGCCCCTGGCTGCACCACACCTATACGCAAATGAATGCATGGACCCGCGCCACCTGTGCAAAAAACCCAACATACTTGATATTGCTGTAGGATGATGGACTCCAAAGGTTCTCCATAGGACTTTTAAAGCTGGGTTGATGAGCTTTTAACCCTGTATGCCTGCACCACCATGCTGCAAGCACACAGGGTGATGGACTCCCTATAGGACACTAAAATAAATAACTAATTTGGGGTCATCCACCCCAAGCAGGGCCGCTGATAAGGGGGTACCTATGTCCCCTCTGTAGGAGGCCTGGCATCCCCGAACAACCACTTACAGGAGATACAAATGTAAAAATGTTCTAATTTTGTCATAAGATGTCCCAATAAAGCTTATAAAATATTTGACCGCATGATGCAGGTTGCGCACATCGCAGTTGCATTTTTTTTTTTTTTCCCCTGAAAACACAGTTGCGTTTTCCTTGTCTGACCCCAGTGTAGACAATTCCTAGGTCTGACTATAGTTAAGCGTCGTGTTTTTGTTGCATGCTTTTCAGATACATGTCCAGGCATGTGCCACAGAGAGCTCTGATCTGATAGTCGCTGCAGGATTGTGGCCTGATAGTCACTCTAGGTGCTCATAGACTTTTAAGGGGGGGGGGGGGGGGGGTTGATGAGCTTTTCTAATCCAACCGCTATCTGTCACTAACATTGGCAGCTAAACGTTCACTAGTATGCTGGAGGGGGAGAGCAGCCCTGGTAGAAGATGCGTCTTTGCCCAGACAGGAGAGGTATGCTGAGGCTTGCAGTTCTACAGAGGTGGGAGAGACACCAGCGTACAATGCAGTTCTTCCCAGTTTGACAGTGGTAAGCTGTGAGTGGGACATGCTGGGATCTGTAGATGAAGACTCCATGCACACTAGCTTTTTTTATTTTGGTTAAAAACTGCTGGTAGTAGCGTTTAGGAGCATTTAGTATTAGCGTTTTTATGGTACATGTAGGGAAACAAAGCTAGAAAGAAAAAGCTGTTAGGAGCATTTACTCCCAGTTCACATCTATGCGGCTGTGCGGGCTGCGGTTTTTTTTTTTTTTTTTACGTGGGCGCGAGAGCCCATTTTTTTTAATGGACTTGCGTGCCCCATGACACGCAGAGAAGTCCCTGCACTTCTGAAAACGCAGCCCGTACAGGAACCTCTGTTCCCAATACAGTTGCGTTTTTTCCACTGCGGGGGGGCGTGCCATTAGAACTAATGACACCCGCCCACGGGTCCGCATTTCTCTGTGCGGGTGGTGCAGCCGCACGTATTTTTGTGCGGATCCGCAGCGGCACCACCCGCACAGATGTGAACCTAGTCTTAGTCCTCGCGCACACGGGACGTTTGGATAACGCTGGTAATGTTAGCTGTGTAAAGTCACGTTAAAAACCCGAGTTTTTCAGCTTTCTTTAGCACTTTTTTCATTAGCATTTAGCGGTGTATTTCTGCATTTGCACTTTTTTTTTTTTTTTTTTTTTTTTTTGTTGTGTGGTGGGTTTTTTTTTTTTTTTTTTTTTTTTTTTGTCAAGTCAATGCTGGTTTGCTGTGTTTTTACCACATTTTTCAGCGTTAGAGCGTTTTTACAGCTAAAAAACTCCTCCTATAGACCCACTTGTCCTGGGTTTTTCCAGCCAAAAAAAATGATTCCAGTCTGTGTGTACACATAGGATAACATGCTGGGGGGTTTACTCTCTGTAGAAAAAAACTAAAAAGTCAAAACCAGCCGCTGTAAAAATGTCCTGTGTGCATGAGGGCTTTTTTTTTTTTTTTTTTTTTTTCCTCCTAAATGCCAAACGCTACAAGCATGAAATAGCGTGCATGGACACACAGGATCACATTTAGCTTCTAGGTTGAGAAAAAAAAAACAGCTTCTAGGAGATCAGAAAAATGCCAGCTAGCTCCATGCACATAGGGCTTAGAAAAAAAAAAAACACTAGAGCATTTTTGTACAGTTTTTAGTAGAGTTTAGGATTGTGTAGTTTCTTGCTCCAATCAGAATTGCAAACCAGAAGGGTTTATTTTCCTGCCTCTAAACCAGGGGAGTCCAATTCCATTTCATTGTGGGCCGTATCAGCATTATGGTTGCCCTCCAAGGGCCGGTTGTATCTGTAAGACTAATGTCCAGAGCACCCCACCTCCCATTACATCAGATGTCAAGAATTCCACACCCTCCCTAACATCACCGTGCACCCCCTTTGGGGGGGCAGAGGCGGAAAGTGGCAGGGTCTGGAGGAGGATCAGAGGAGGAGTGGAGTCCGTTATCAGAGTTGGTTGAATGCTGGGACAAGGGGAGGCAGAGATGAGGGGGTGCTGCAGCTGCTCTAAGGTGCAGGGTTTGGCAGAGGAGTTCTAGTCTCCTGCTGAGACAATGTGGGGGTGGAGACAAGGGACTACCTGCAGGTGAGGCGCAAGGGCCACATGGAATGTCCTGGAGGGCCGGATTCGGACTGCGGGCCTTGTGTTTGCCGCCTGTGCTCTAAACGTTGAGCTTATAATATGCCTCTAATTCTGGGCTCACACTGAATGCTACTTTCAGATCACACTGCTTCACTTGGGGTAGCATGACTTGGTCAGTGCGATTTGTACCTCCGATTTCACTGTGGCTTGCAATGTCATGTAACAGAAGTCAATGCAAGTCACAATGAAATCAGAAAAAAGTCATTCACTATTTCGCTAATTCAGATCACACTGATTAAGACACTGCCATAGAGATACATTAGATGCAACTTCAGGTGCGATTTGTAAATCACATGTCGCATCGGTGTGAACCAGAGCTAATCGTCCTAATGTGCATGGACACATAGGAGAACACTGAGCTGCTTCTACAGGCAAAACAAAAAGACTCCTGTAGAAGCTGCGTGTGTATTTTTTTTTTTTTTTTGTTTTTTTTTATAGCTGGTGTGCATGGAACCTAACAGACCAGAGAGATGCTAGTTGGACATGCTGAGACTTGTAGTTAACACAGGAAAGCTATAGATAGGACATGGTGGGATTTGTAGCAGGAAAGTGAGGGGAGAGATGCTGGAGGGAATACTGGGATTTGTAGAACTGGGAGAGACATCAATGGGGCAAGTTGGAACTTGCAGTTCTACATAATAAATAAGAGTGAGTGGGACATGTAGTTCTACAAAGACACTAAAGGAGTAAGGCCCTTTTTCACACCAGCACATTGATTAGGTCCTACTATCTGTTTTTCAGGCAGGCCTGACTTGTCCATCCAAAGACTTCTATGGACTGGTGGGTGTCAGCGGACAATAGTCCGCTTACACCTGCCGCCATCCAATCTGATCCTGTACCAGGGGCGGACTGACAACTCATGGGGCCCCCGGGTAATAAGGGATCATGGGGCCCCTGTGTCCTTGCCCAAACTCAAAGCCTATGAAAAAGGTACCAGGTGCATCTCATGGGGCCCCCTACTAACTCCGGGCCCTCGGGCAGTGACCGAGTTTCCAAATGGTCAGTCCGTCCCTGTCCTGTACACCAAAAACAGATGGATGGGGATCCATTCCCCATCCATCCAGAGGATCAGATTGAATGACAATTGAGTGGAAACGGGCAAGTGGTCTGTTTCCATCTGACCGTCCCATTGAAATCAGCGGGCTGTGTCTGCTCTGCAGCAGTGAAGCAGACATAGACCTTTCATCCGCCTGCTCAGCGGGGATCAGTGGAGAGATCCCCTGCTGAGCAGGCGGATCACGCTGATTGATCTGCCCCGTCTGAACGGTGCCTTAGTGGTACATGATGGGAACTGTAGCTCTACAGAAATACAAGAGGATTCGGTGGGATATGGGAGAAATGTCATCCTACAGAGACACCTGAGGAGTCAGTGGGACATGACTGTATGGGCAAAGTAGTTCTAGAAAAACATAGGGGCAGTGGGACATGCCAGGCCTTGTAGCTTCACAGTAGTTGGTTAGACATGATGGGACTTGACGTTCTACAGAGACGGGAGTTGGTTGAACATGCCAGGACTTGTAGTTCTATAGCTACGAGAGGAGTCAAGCTGACCAAAGATGGATCGAAAATTCAGCTGGTTCACCAGGAACCGGACAAATTTTGATCCATCTATGGCCGTTCCTGTCAGTGGGACATGACTGGGTTGGCAGTGTAGTTCTAGAAAAACATGAGGGCAGTGGGACATGCCAGGCCTTGTAGGCACACAGTAGTCAGACATGATGGGACTTGAAGTTCTACAGAGAAAGGAGTGGGTTGAACATGCCAGGACTTGTTCTATAGCTACAAGAGAGTCAAGCTGACCAAAGATGGATCGAAATTCAGCTGGTTCACCAGGAACCAGACAAATTTCGATCTAGCTCTGGCTGTTCCTGTTCCACAAGACAATCAATTGATCAACTTCTCTTGAACAGACTTGTTGGAAAATTTTCTTTGATCATCTCCTGCATCCAGTTGGTTGCAGCACTGATCAGTGTGTTCTGAAAGCAGGAGTCCTTGCTGTCAGAATACAGTAGCTCAGCAGTGTGCAGATTCTGGTTGACCATGTATGGCTGGCCTCTGTAAGAGGACTATATGTTGCTGGAACCTCAACATAAAAGGACTAGGAAATCCAGAACATCCTGGGATTTGTACTTCAGAAATAGGAAAGAAGCCAGTGGCTCCGAACCAATAGGAACATCCTCCTCCTGTTCATTTACCCTTCGGTTACGTCTGATGGATTGCAATACAATAATGCCACAAAGCCATGCGACCAATACACAAATACCCTCTCTCTAGTCCGCATTTGACATCTGCACACGGCCACACAATAATCATTACGATCCACCAGGAAGAAAAATTGATACAATCTTATCTTGCCTTACAAATCAAAAAGAGAATAAATACGAGCGCATCTATATAGCAGCTGAGCATAAGGTACCAAACACCCTCAAAACAATATATATCACAAGATGCAGCGCTAATGACTATAACATATATGCATAAATCAAGAAATCTGTCATAAATGACTAAACAGTAGAAAGTTCATAAAATGGGTGACTTTAGTGCTCTCTTCTCCTATATATCCTCCTGCTGGTCAGGCGTTTGTGCAGAATAGTGTTGAAGGGGTGCACACTCACCAGAACGCACAGATAAATGAGCGTTTATTATAGATTCCCCTTTAGGATCATCAACTATTTAGGATTATCCTATTACCATATAAAGTAAAATATGTACTAATCGGCTTTGGTGGTCAGTAATATTGATTGGAAGGTTTTGAAGGATAAAAGCATAATGCTTGAAAATGATAACCAGCCGAGTACACTTATTAGTATGCAAAACTAATGAAATATGGCGCTGGTATGAAGATCCGATCGTTCGTGGTCAGACTTCAGGATGATGGCGCCTTTCCAAAGCGCATGCGCCTAGCATATAAATGAACGTCGCACGGCCCGGCGTTCAGTGGCACATCCCCCCAGACGACGTGCGTGTGCACGAAACGCGTAGGAGGAGCCAAGAACGCCGTGACGTCATACCGCCGGAGCATCGTGGCGCTCCGGCGGTCATTTTTAATACTGGACGGTTAGTCCATTTTGTTTACCTTACACCGTGTACACGGGTTGCTGAATTTTAAATAAATCCTTATATGACCTACTACACTATGGATGCGTTTTGTTCTGACTCCCTTGGGGAGTACCCATTCTAGCCACTCATCTCTCTCTGTGGGGTACGAATCGTATGCTGATCCTAAGGAGAAGTACGCAGGTCATCTAAACCAGGGAATATACAGGAACATCTAGGAGGTCTGGAAGGTGTTTTGTCGTAATACCACAGCATGTCCAGTTGATGATCCTAAAGGGGAATCTATAATAAACGCTCATTTATCTGTGCGTTCTGGTGAGTGTGCACCCCTTCAACACTATTCTGCACAAACGCCTGACCAGCAGGAGGATATATAGGAGAAGAGAGCACTAAAGTCACCCATTTTATGAACTTTCTACTGTTTAGTCATTTATGACAGATTTCTTGATTTATGCATATATGTTATAGTCATTAGCGCTGCATCTTGTGATATATATTATCTTGCCTTACGGAGAGTGCAGCAGAAGGAAGACTGAGATTGGGAAGGAGGCAGATGAACAGTGAATCGGACAACTAAACATCAGTTTTGGGTGGACTGGCCTTTATTTCATATGTTCAAAATTCTGCATGATGAGTGCCGAAGAGCCCAAATCCTTTGGCTCATACACACACACTTACCAAAAGTATCGGTCAGCCTGCCTTTATACGCACATGAACTTTAATTGCATCCCAGTCTTAGTCCGTAGGGTTCAATATTGAGTTGGCCCCGCCCTTTGCCGCTATAACAGCTTCAACTCTTCTGGGAAGGCCGTCCACAAGGTTTAGGAGGGTGTCTATGGGAAGGTTGGATCATTCTTCCAGAAGCACATATGTCAGGTCAGGCACTGATGTGGATGAATAGGCCTGGCTCAGTCTCCAGTCTTTCATCCCAAAGGTTCTGCGGGTTGAGGTCAGGACTCTGTGCAGGACAGTTAAATTCCTCCACCCTAAACTGGCTCCTCCATGTCTTTTTATGGACCTTGCTTTGTGCACTGGTGCGCAGTCCTGTTGGAACAGGAAGGGGCCATCCCCAAACTAATTCCACAAAGTTGGGAGCATGAAATTGTCCAAAATGTCTTAGTATGCGGACGCCTTAAGTGTTCCCTTCACTGGAACTAGGGGGTCAAGCCCAACCCCTGAAAAAACAACCCCACACCATAATCCCCCCTCCACCAAACTTTACACTTGACACAATGCAGTCAGACAAGTACCATTCTCCTGTCAACAGCCAAACCCAGACACATCCATCATATTGCCAGAGAAGCATGATTGGTTACTCCAGAGAACATGTCTCCACAACTCTAGAGTCCAGTGGCGGCGTGCTTTACACCACTGCATCCGACGCTTTGTATTGCACTTGGTGATGTAAGGCTTGGATGCAGCTGCTCAACCATGGAAACCCATTCCATGAAGCTCTCTACGCACTGTTGTGCTAATCTGAAGGTCACATGAAGTTTGGAGGTGTTTAGCTATTAACTCTGCAGACAGTTGGCGACTTGTGCACTTCAGCATGCGCTGACTCCGCTCTGTCATGTGACGTGGCCTACCACTTGGTGGCTGAGTTGATGTTGTTCCTGGCTGCTTCCACCTTGTTATAATCCCACTAACAGTTGACTGTGGAATATTTAGTAGCCAGGAAATGTCATGGATGGACTTATTGCACAGGTGACCACCTATCACGGGACCACGCTTGGAGTCACTGAGCTCCTGAGAGCGACCCATTCTTTCACCAATGTTTGTAGAAGCAGTCTGCATGCCTAGGGGCTTGATTGTATACCCCTGTCCCCATGGAGGGGATTGGAACACCTGGATCACATGATTTGGAGGGCGGGGGCCCTATACTTTTTGGCAATATCGTGTATATTTTAATACATTGAAAAAGAAAAAGGGGGTGAAGAGTCGGAATACTTTCTGAATGTTATGTTGCAGCCTGATACTACAGTTTTAATTTGTTCTCAATCTACAATCAATACCCCATGTGAAAACAATTTTAGAAATGCCTGTGAATTTATTAAAAGACAAAAAACAGAAATATCACACTTAAAGTGGTTGTAAAGGCTCAAGGGTTTTTTACCTTCATGCATGAAGGTAAAAACCTGTGTGCAGCAGCACCCCCAACCCCTTCATTACTTATCTGAGCACCATCACGATCCATCGATGTGCAGAAACAGCCTCCGCTGTTCCGGGTCTCTGCCTCCTCATTGGCTGAGACAGCGAGCAGGAACCATTGGCTCCCGCTGTTTTCAATCACAGCCAGACAATGAGGGGGCAGGGCAAAGCCACAGCTCCACGTGTGAATGGACACATGGATCAGCGGCTTGGGAACAGCCTGCTTGGGTGCACCCATAGCAAGCTACTTGCTATGGGGGCACCAAGCAGAAAGGAGGGGCAAGGAGTACGGGCGGGGGACCCTGAGAAGAGGAGGCTCCAGGCTGCACTGTGCAAAACCACTGCACATAACAGGTAAGTATAACACGTTTGTTTTACAAAAAAAAGAACCTTTACATTCGCTTTAAGTATTCACCCTTTACTCAATACTTTGTTGAAGCCCTTTTGGCAGAAATTACAGCCTCGAGTCTTTTTGGGTATGACGCGACAAGCTTTACACACCTGGATTGGGCGACTTTCTGCTATTCTTATTTGGAAATCTTCTCAAACTGAGTCAGGTTGGGATGGGGACTGTCAGTGGACGACCATTTTCAGGTCTCTCTCCAGAGATGTTCAATAGGATTTAGGTCAGGGCTCTGGCTGGGCCACTCTAGCACATTCAGAGTTGTCCCTATGCCACTCCTGTGGTGTCTTGGCTGTATGCTTAGGATCCTTGTCATGTTGGAAGGGGAACCTTTGGCTCAGTCTGAGGTCCTGAGCGCTGTGGAACAGGCTTCATTGACATCTCTGTACTCTGCTCTATTCAGCTTTCCCTCCACCCTGACCAGTCTCCCAGTACCAGATGCTGAAAAACACACCCAGAGCATGATGCTGCCACTACCGTGCTTCATTGTTGGGATG